GTAGTTGGTTCTTACATTCTGATTCGGTTTAAATCCTCGAGTGCGTCCATTTTAATTGGCCAATAATTTTTTTTTAAACGCGCGCCTGAGAACTTTCAGTACCCTAAGGCTCGAACCCCAAAAGCCCAAAGATAAGCACGTTACTGCTGACGGCTTCAGTAGGGATGCGTCTTAAGATTTTCAAAATAGTATCGTATCTTGCATTCTTCTACGTTTCGAAAATCGCAATTTATTTGTTCTTCGGAGACATCTCAATTAAGTACGGGTTAGTTGCGCAATGAATGTTATTCGATGGAATGCGTTAATTTTGTATATTTCGCCACTATTGGCCGAAGGTAAATTTCACGTAATTACTTTGCGTAGAGTGGGTATGAAGGGAATGGCGCCAATGCATGTGTGTAATGCTGATTGGCTCCGCTCAATTGTTAGAAGAAAACAGTTTGGTAAAGAAAAGATTAGGTCAAGGAATTGCGTCATAAAGAGTTGGAATGGCGACTTCCGGCTAATTGGCGCCACTCTCTTTATACCTATTCCAACTTTTGTCGACAGGCGAACGCTCGTATCACAATTACGTTAAACATCATCGCTGTTAGTTCGTCGCCTCGCTGGCTGTTTTAAGAATACTTGTAAGTAATTACATTTGCTTCGATAAATTTGAAATTGCCTTCCATATATCTTGTAACGAAGTTGTATTCAAGTCTTTCCGTATCATTTGCAAACGAAAAGAAATCTTGTGTGCGTAGAATAATTCACACATACATTTCTCCGAGAATGCATATCCTGGAGGTGATCGATTGTATATCTTGAAAACGATGAAAATTATAAAAATTAGCGATTTATTGAAATATTTATAATTTCATTGGTCAATATCTAGTGAATTTGTCACTTTTGTTATAATGTTTATTTCGTTTCAAAATACACGATCGATACATCCTTGGAGGTATCCTTAGAACAGACAAGTCCAACATTAATTCCGAAGCCGAAACGCAAGGCTGTTGAGGCAAAAAAAATTTAATATAAATAAGATTTCGGTGTAAACTGATACGTGTCACTCAGAGAGACACATAACAACATTTTGTAACCATTGAAATCTTATTCGTATTTTTTTGCGTTGATGGCTTTATGTTTCGGCTCCGGAACTAAAATTGAACATATTTAAGTATGTAGGACGTCCTTAGGACATCACGTGGTGAACTGTATTACGTGAGGAGTGTCCCGTAAAGTTTTTCGTGGAGTGTGACGGCGCGCGAAATCCATGCCAAATAACGTGATTTCTTCGTAGGTACCTGTTGCTCGCTTCTGGACCTATGGTTCTTCGCTCATCCTTTTCACACATTACTTTCTCATCGGAATCAACGATGGAATAGATTCATAATCATTATCAGATCGATAGGTACATATAAATCTGTAGTTAATTAAGACGTTTACCTGCAGTAAGAACACAGTGTTACATAAAGTTAATTATTACATCCTTGTTGCTTGCCAACGTTAAACAAGAGTGAAGAGTCTGTATTACACTGTGTCCTTATTGAACAACACCCTTATAATTTGTTTATAGGTTTGTTTGCATCGCATGCTCCAACATATTTCCTATTCACTCTGATGAGCACATTAGTAGGAGCATATTGGAGCATGTTGAAGCAAGCGACGAACAAACCTTATATTTTTCAATATGTGAATACCATTTTCCGATTTTGCGACGTTTTACGCATGTTAATGTTATGTTTATGCCGCAAACAATTGCAACATAAAAATTATTATTGTTATAATTCTTAAATCATGACTGCTTTTATTACTTAATGATTCTTAAATTGATAAAATAAATATTAAAAATTATTTGTTATTAATCTTATACATCTTAAAAATTTTTTACTTCAGGCTTTAGGATTTTCACTAAAGGTAACTTCAGTCAAAATCTTGATTAACATAATCGGTGATTAATTTAATGGATGATTAATATTAACAAAATAGTACAGATTATTTGATAAATTAAGCATCAACTAAAGTAATCATGGAATCATTTAATCAAAGTTTGACTGAAATTACTAAAAATCATTTTATATCTCTAATAATATCTATACGTACAATAATGAGATATTGATCCAAAAATATTATCATGTATATATAATAATAATTGCTAATATTTACGAAGATTTACTTAAAAAATTTGTCGTGTGTTAATTTAAGTAAATGTGGGCTAAAAGTTTCGATCAAAACAAACAAAATTATAAATATTAAGTGATAATAAAAGAATATACTTACTTCATTATTATTATTTTTCAATTTTGATTTAGACATTTTCCTAAATATATTTAAATAATTTTTATTCCTTTGTCTGAAATCTTCGAACTCTTTTTGCAAATAGAAATTATTCTCATATTTCATTTTTTATATTCTTTCTAAATTAAAAATTTTATTAAAAATACACACTCTAAAGAATAAGCAAAATGTTACTAGTATGTAAATATTAACAATTTGTTAGCAGATTCAGAAGAATACTGTGACAGATTGACAAACTCATGTTATGTCTTTATTAGGCCTATATTCTGCAGCAGAATTTATATAACATATAATGTATTTTTAACCGAAACCGATCAAAGTCATTTTGTAATCATTTAAATGTAATGTATTATTTAAATCTGCATGTAAAAGATTTGTAATTCTGAATATTACTTGACGCATATCGGTATTTATGTATATTGCCTTCCTAAAAATAGGTATAAATGCCAATATATGTCAAGTCGATACCTAGAATTATAAATCTTGGACAGCACTAATTTAAGTAGTTATAAAATGATTCTGCTCAGTTTCTGCCACCACATTCTGTTAAATAAACAAATTTCATTATGTTGCTAGTTGTCTATCGACAAAACAGTTTGTAACAAAAAATTTTGGTAAAATCTGTTTTTGATAGATTTCGATAAATTGTTAATTTAATGGATGATAAATATTGAAGGATACTAAAAAATGTTTCTGGAAAAGGTGTTTTATCAGTTTTAAGAAAGTAGTCATTTATTGCAGTTCTACCGCATCATAATTTGCTCTTTTTATTTTTCTTTTCTTCATGAATGTATACATATTTCTTGGTAGATCGTTCCTTTGACGTATACAAATCTTAGAATCGTCGAAGTTGTCAAAACGGCCTCTTTTTAGCTAAGCTTTTCGTCATGTATATAATTTGTGTTGTTTCATATTTGCTTTAATTATTCCAACGGACAGTCTTAATTTCGTAATTCTATCTGTGCGATGGATTACAACATTTACGCTGATATTTTCTCCAAAGTTTCTCGTATCGCATATGTCCCAATTGTTTAACCGGCAGTTTTGCGATTGCGATTGCAATAAAATGAAACATACACACATACTCTTCTCTTCCAATAATATTTCATCTTGCTCTAACTATTTCAACGTCTTTCATTCTGTTGAAAGCAAATGAATCATAAAGAACTGACGATCCTTAAACTACACTCATTCGCAAAAAAAAACGGCCCATCATTTAGTACAATTTTTTAACATCTTTTAGTAACGCTAATTTAACAAATATTGCATTGAACTATTATTCATCTCAATATGATGATTTTTTGTTGAATTATCACTATTGAAAGATGTTAAGAAATTATACTAAATTTTGGCCCATTTTTTTGCGGATGAATGTAACTTTGGAAACTGAAAGTCCAAGTATAGAATGAATCTCCTCATTCATCCATCTTTTATAGGCTGATGTTATGATATCGATCGAATATATACTCCGATATATTCCGCATAAACTTTGTTTTCCAAGATGAGCGCGAATTTCGCGTACGCGCAAATCTCGAGAAATCATCTCTTCTGGTCAGCTCATTTATATACATGTTACATCTACGCGATAACTCGTTTATAAAGTAACAAGAGACATATGTCATGAATTTTCTTCAGATTTCTACGAGACTTACAATTAGTCTCAACTGTCTTAAAAATAACTGCGAGAATAATTCTAAGCAAGTCTTTGTCTCTCTTTTATTAAAGTAAAGGGAAAAAGAAGAATGTTCGCGCGTCGCATGGTTTCTTCGCTTTTTTTTCCGGCGTGATCAGAAGTGTTGCTCGATCAGAACGATTAATTGTTTAGGGTGGGAGCATAGAATCTTGTATAACGCATATTTAGATGTATAATGTATAATGTATAAAGTATGAAAAAAATGAACCAATCAAAATCCTTTATTTTGTTCTTTTTCACGAAATAAAAGATTCTAAACAAAAGATTGATTTTTCTTATGCTTTATGTGTTATGCGTTATATCAAATTTTGTGTTTCTGCCTTTAGGATCTATCCAGAACAAATAAATTTGTCTAGCTGCATAAATATATACATAAAGGAAAAATATCCAATCGTATTTCTATTGTAAAGACGCATGTAAAATGCGAGTGGATGTTTTTTATGCATACATTTATGCTATGTAAATTTGTTTGGATAGACTCTTAAGAACGAAGCACAGATCTTTCCATAATGCATAAGAGAATCGATCAATTAGAGCTTTTTTTTTTTAATGAAATGAAGGATTCTGATTGGTTGATTCTTTGATGCTGTATGTATTATGCAAAGCTCTGTGCTTCGCTGCCTTTACTTTTCTTGGCAGAAATCAATGTAAGCGTACTCGATTAACGATCAGTCTCGCGTTATGGGAGAGATCTTTGAAAAGAAACGGTTTCTTTTAAACCGAATTTCCGACGAGAGGCTAATTTTCTCAATCGCTCTATATGCTACATGATTCTCGATTTTATCTGTGGACACACTACGACTCTCTGCACGAGGTGCACATGGTATTTTATAATCGTTAGCGTATTTTACGATCACATCGATAAATGTCGTTTCTCAAAGAGCAGTTATTTACATAGTTAAGGCGCTAGCCGCTTCTTATTCCGATAATCGATTCGTAAATACTATTTGTTATAGCGCACAATTACGTTTAGTTAAGACAGAGAAAGGAGCACACATAACTCCTCTCTATCTTCTCAAGTTTTTCGTTTTTTTTTTCACGATGTTCTTAATACTATATATTTCTAATAAAGTTGGCACTATTCGAAAAGTGGAAAGCCGGTTTCATGATAGAATTGCATGGAGTGAGATCGAATCGCAGCACTTTCGTGTATTTCAAACCAAAAGGAATTTGAGAATCAATTTTTGATTGTGTGCCAAAATTATTCAATTTCATTTCGAATAAATGCCTATCATTAGCTTCGAATTAATTGACCTATTTTTTACGGGGATAACGTGTAACGCTGCGATCGTTGCAGTGTTTTTATTAAAATCTTTTAAAACACAATATTCATTATGCGAATATAATCTGTCATTCCTATAATCATACATAGAGTAGCTCGTTAATAAATAGATCGCACTAGTGAAGCGGAGGTACTCGTATGGAAGTTGGCGTTCACCCTGTATATCTGTAATTGGTCGTCGCGAAAGCAATGGATCGGTCAGTCAGACTTTTTTTTTATCGTAATTACGTTTCGTACAGTAAGACAGTGTAATTGTAATTCGGTGATAGAAAGAATAAATGCTATCAAAAAACGTACAGTTAATCATCGAATGCTTCCGTTACTTCTTGATTGCTTAATTGTGTATATTGCCGATAGGATTTGGTGTTTTTTTTTCTCTCGAAACTCGACGTTATACAATATCATACATGGCACATACAGGGTTATATACGAAGGCCATATTTTGTGTATAATAACGGCAGTATTTGGCGCAACGCAGATCAGTTATCGAGACGCCTCTTCGACACAAATGGACCTGAGAGTCTCTTTTTCCATCACTCATCCATCTCCATTCAAAATTGAATTGTCCTTCACATTAAAATTTCCCCCAACGGCAACGGATGGTTTTGAGAATAAGATTTGTTGTCTCTTTTTAAATAATGTTAAATCGTCCGGCGAAGATACCAAGTCGAACCAGCGAATCTCGATCATACATGTATAGTGAATTCTTGTCTTTCTTGCTCCTTTCTTTGCTGATATCTGCAACAAATGATTACGTTTACGTTCTTAAAAATATTTAATCAATTCTCTCTTTTTTTCTCTTACTAATTTTTAAATATCTCGTGTTTCGAAAACAATTATATAATAATGATTTTCTGAAAATACTTAAATCAATGATATATAAAATTTATTTAAAAAATTTCTTTCCTCGTCTTGAATATTTGATATTAACTACCTCGATAAGTAAAAGTTTTATTAAATTATTGTATATTTATCTTGGTATTACTATTATTACATGAAAAAGAAACATATTATTTATACACATTATATGAAAAACATCAGTATCCAAACAGTCATATATTCTTCCTCAGATTCTATTGTATAGTACAGTAATTATATAGTAGTCAATACAGTCGCCAAGATAATCTATAGACATACAAATAAGTAAATTTCCGAGGATTAGACCGATCTTAGCTGTTTAGTACTGGGCTGGGCATGCTTGTTTACGGATACTCATGCCGATACCTAGCGAGCATAGATTCGACGGCCTCAATCGGAAGTCTGCCCAAACTGCCGCCGTGACGAGTTCCGGCTGATAAACCTTGCCATTCGCGATCGCGTTCGCGATCACGATCACGGTCGCACTCCACGTCGCTCAATTCGCGACTGTCACTGAACCCGCTTGGCGGCAATAGCGTCATATCCTCTACCGAACTGTCAAACAAATCAGCGGATACATTTATCGAGTCAGAAGAAAAATTTTTCTTTAAAGCTTGTGACACCGTTGCCTAAATTAAAAAAAAATTGATAAAACGCAACTCTAATTTAATTCGATTCATAATTAAATCTCTTATTCATAAGGTAATGTTTCATATGATGATTAATTCAATCTCATTATCAAATATCTTTAATGTTCTAATGTATCTAAATTAAATAATAAATATACAGAGTAATGCATGAAATGTCATACCATTTTATTACCTTATTAAAACCATACTTCTAGAGTATTGATTTTTTTAACTGCATCAAATTCTATATTTCGTGGAAATTCTGTTAAGTGGAATTACAAGTTGGACTTGGACGGAAGTGAAGGCGTATACCAGTTTATGAAATACACATGTGGACAGAAACGTCTCCGGGTCTCTATCACATTCTTTGTTCTCACGAAAAACAACACAACTTTCACTTTATGCTCACATTTTAAATCAATTGTTACTCGCCATTTCACAAACTGATGTGTGTGCCTTTACCTTCATCAAATTCTAATTTGTGATGCACATCTAATAGAATTTCCTTGAAGTACAAAATTTCACACAATATAAAAAAAATCGATATTCCACCGGTTTAGTTTAATGAAATAATTAAATGATATAACATTTCATACGCCACGCTGTATGTAAATATATATACGTAGATATGGGGAAAGGTTGTACACATATACATACATACATACATACATCTTTTATACGTATAAGGATAATTTGTCGAGCATGTGAAGACTCAATTATATTTTCTAGAAAATGCTTTTATCTTCTTTTATATAAAAGCAAGTGTAAAACATTCTCATCCTTTATCGTATAAAATATGAGGTTCTAGAATGAAGCGTAATAACGTGAAAAATCAATATATCATACAGTATATATTATAACATATATTATCAAAATATATGTATTTTCGGAGTATGTCACTTTTAATAATATCCATAAAATAAATATAAATATTTATCACTTGTAAAAAATTTCTAATTAATAAATGATTCGCGTCATTGCGCTTCTTTTTCGCGTCGATGTGAAAACGATGAGAGGCTGATATCGAATAGTCAAGACTGAGTGCTATGTGGAAACAAACAAACCTTGGCTACCTGCGAGTAGACCGGCTCGGCTGTCGGCTTCGTCGTCTCGCGAGTGAGGGCGAGCCTTCGTTGTTAGATTCCGTACTCGATTCAACACCTCGCGAAAATACATCTGTAAGGGATCACATTATTGTATGGAAGTTTATTCTCGCATACAGTCAGTTTTCTTGATAATTCATTCTCTAGATTTATTTTTATATCGATAGTCAATATACACAATGGTAAAGGTAGAAATACATAATTGTACCTCTACAAGGCTTTACTGGCACTCTATAACTAGGCCCGGCGCATTCGCCGCAAGGACTTCCGGATGTGTCGCTCCCGGAACCTTGTCGACTCGACCGCAGTTTGCTCTCGGCTTCCGCGATGCTCGGAAAGTAGCGTTGCTTGTGCCACCTTGGTGTTTTCGACCTGCGCGTCAAAGAACACCAGAAAGAGGAAGAGAAGAGGAGGAAAATGAAGGCGCAAACGGAAAACGGATCGGTTTCACGAAAAGTTAGAAGTTAAGATGCGACGGAAGAAGCCAGTTACCTTTCGAATTCCACGCTGGATCTCTCGTAATCGATAGTATTGATGTCCTCGTTCTCCAAATGACCAAAAGTCTTGAACTGCATCGTATAATCGAGCGTCGCAGTTGTGACCGAACGGTTCTCTCTTCCGGGAACACTAAACGTAGCATACGGACTTATCTCGTACATTTCTGCGAAGAGTAATACAGTATTAATGAAGCTGTATTTACGTTACGTGAATAATTCATCAATTTATAAATCGATATTCATACCAGAACCGTGATCAGCGGATTTGTGATTTTCTTGTTTCACGGGCGAACTAGTATAAACCTGATGATTACGTCTGTTGTCTCGTTCAGCCGTCGATTTGAGTTGTACGGTCGACATACAACTGGACAAGTGATGATGCTGTTGCTGATGCTGTTGTTGTGGAACCATTCCTAATCCAGCCTGTTGTTGCTGCTGTTGTCCTGGTAATATCTCGCCTAAATAATTCGCTCTGTCGAAAAATAAAAAAAAGTAAAAAAAATAATTAATAAGAACTGACGAGTGATGAGTAGTAAATAAATGAAGTGAAATAGAGTTTCAAAAATCGGGAAATATTACGCTTTACCTGCCGTTACGTTTAAGCATGACATAACCCAGGATAACCGCAGAAACGACTAAAATGATTGCGCAGATGAGCGGTACGATGACGTACAAAACTTTCTGATTAGGCACAGTCTTCTTGATATCGTCTTCCATTATTAAATCGTTAGGTGGACCGATACTGACTCCGCTTAGTGTGGTCGTGGCAAATTCCATTTGAGTCTGAGTCGAACCAGCGTCATTGTGAGCCGTTAAACGTAAACTGTACCACGATGCCGTTTTTAAATCACGAATCACAACGTTATCGGTCGCTCTGCTGGCCACCAAAATCCATGGTTCTGTATTAATTCGCCTCCGATACTCGACGGTGTAATATTGAATGGGACATCCTCCATTAGGCCAAGATAATAAATTTAACTTCACCGACGTGCCATTTGCCGAAATAATATCTCTTTCTTTAGGCGATAGGGGCGCTGGAAAATAAATTAGAGGAAGTTTAATAGCCGTCATTTTAACAAGAAAGTTTATATTAACCTTCCGATTCCCATGCTAATTTTTCTGCAAATATAAATTTCCAAGTGGGGAGACCTCAACAATGTTCTGTATAATAGCAATTATCTGTATAATAGCATTTATGATGTTAACAATTATGTTTAAGTACATAGTTACAGTAAATAGACATATTGGTATAGTATAATACAATGCCATTTATCTTTATTTACAAAAATTTTATTCACAAGTCTACAAAAAAATATCAAAATCTCCTGACAGAATTAGTTTGAGGCAGCAAGAAGCTTGAGCAAGCAGTTCGCCGCTTGAGAGTCGAAAGATTAATCGACACTTGAACTCGATTCTAAGCCAGGGCAATCGTACACATAGCTAATTTTAATTGATCATAAAATATCTTATTTACCAGTGCCCTTCGTTGTTGCACTGATTAATGGACTTGGATCACCAGTATCAACACGATTATGTGCTGTCAAGTGTGCTAAGTAGGAAGATCCACATTTTAATCCAGAAAGCACGAATTCCGTTTGCTCAGGAGACAAGGCGATTTCTTCCCATCCGCCCTGATCTCTCTTGTAGCTTAACACATATCCTGGAAAAAAGATAGTTTACTAACAGCTACATACATAATATGCAATATTATTAATTTGCTTTCTCAATACCTTGTATCGTAGCGCCGCCATTGTCAGGATGATTCCAACGGAATCTGATACTGTTTGTTGTTGTATATTGCAATTCTAACGACGGTGCTCTGGGTGGCATTACTACGACTAATGAATATGTGATGGAGTCGTCGCCGAATAAGTTACTAGCTGAACAAGTGTAATTTCCTGCGACCGATTGCTCCAATCCTGAAAGATAATCGAAAATATATCATGATAATAATTTATAGATATTAATTTTGATAATTATAGATAATTTATAGATGTTAATTTTGCATTAAAATATCTAGATTCGATATTGTGATTCTGTAAGTAGCGAGAAATAAATTAAAATATGTGATACTTACCGCGTATATTAAGGTGTCCATCGGATGTAAGCTCATAGTGCCTGCCGGTGCTGATTTGATTGTTTCTGTATGTCCAAATTGGTCGTGGCGTAGGATTTCCGACCACTAAACACGACAACGTGACCGATGATTTTACAGCTCTTCTTAACACTTGCGAGAACGACGCCACTCTAGCGGGAGCTACAGAATGAATTTGAAGTTTAAGACATGTAATGATTAAATAGATCTAAATTCTGAAATCTTGGGATATATGATTCACAAATACCTCTAGTATTCGTTGTTTGCGTAACTATAGTGGTTCGTTCTCCTTCTCCAAGACCGGTTGTTGCTGACACCCAGAATTCGTACAATTGCCTAAGAGTTTAGAAATCGGTTCATAAAATGCATTGTAAAAAAATTGCAATCATTGTAATACCTTTCCACTAGATCTCGTAATTCCATCGTAAGAGTATCTGTGGGCGATGACGGCGGTTCATGCATCGTGTGCGTGTTATGATTTTTAGAGCCAGTTTCTCTGCTATACACAGTATATTTTGAGACATTTCCATTGGGTTGCAACGGCGGCAACCAGGAAACCAATATACTTTCCGCTGTTAACGCTAATGCTTTAATGCCAGCGGGTGGGCCTGGAACTATAAAAAAGATATTAAATTGTTTATTTTATAATTTGATACAAACAGTTCTTTTTATCTGGTAAAATTTAATTAAACATCTCACCATCTTCTTCCGTCATGCAGAAGATTGGTGGACTCAATGCTCCATCACCTGCGCCTGTATAAGCCAATACCTTGATGGAATAATTTGTGTACTTATATAACGTGTGCAAATAAGTATCCATACTGGAAGTTCTTTTAACTTCACCAACCGTTGATATATCCACTGCAATAAAAAATTAATTAATATCTAGTAATGTATTATAAAGTGTCTTATAAGATTAATTTTTTGCGAACATTTATCTTTATTAGTGTTCTGAAAGCGAGTTTACTCACTGTTATCAGTAGGAACCGGCCTATAATAGACTTTGTATCCTTGAATAATTCCGCCATGCTGATGAGGTGGAGGCGCACTCCAAGATACTTTGACGCTTTGAGAAGATAATGGGACGCATGTTACTTGAGTCGGTGGTGTTTCCGGTACTACGAATGCGAATAGAAATCGAAATATATATATATTGTTGCTTTCTTTTTTCGGACATAATTTCTTATTCTTACTATACCTCCTTCTTGTGTAGTACCCACGATAGGAGCACTTGCTGGTCCGCTAGCTATGCTGTTGAAGGCTCTGATTGAAATGTCATATTTCGTAAATTTTCTTAAACCAGTTAGCTGCACCTTTGTCGTCGCCCAACCATTTACGGTTAAACTTTTACTTTGATTGACACCCGAAGTCGATGACGAATGTTCTGACCACGTCACTATGTAGCCTAGCAAATCTCCGTTGCAAGACTCTTTTGGAGGTGGCTAAAAAAAAAAACGAAAAGTACGTAAATATTATACTTTTAATTTTTTCGATTTTTTTTTATAGCACTGAGACATGATTCAGCTTAATAGAGTATTAATGTTTATGTTTAATAAAAATATAGTAAATTCTTAAGTTATCTCTAAATTGGCATTACTTACTTGCCAACTGACCATGAGCTCTCCAGGTCCAGCGGATTGCACCTTGATGTTTTGCGGTGGTTCGGTAGGTGCTATTACAGATAGCAATGTTATATAATACATCAAGGTTTCAGTCATACGATCGCATTGTCATATGAGGCATTTACCTTCCTCCTGAGTCTTCGCTACGACAGGTTCCGTAGGTCCGCTCGCATCGATAGAGTTTATGGCGAATATCCTGAAGGTATAGGTGACAGCCGGATGAAGTCCACCGACCAGAGCTACCTCTTGATCATCGCCAGTGGTTTCGAAAGGAGATAAGCCTAGAATTGATATGAGTTATGGAAGGGGACCAACAGCCGCGATATCGATCGGGGTATGTGGACGAACCATTTTGAGTTGGATGTATAGAATTACCGCTACTCGAGCTTCCTGGAGTGTACGTGACATTGTGCGTTTTAACGGGATTCCAATCGTCGGTCATACCGTGGCTTAGCGAGCGGTATTGTATCACGTAATTTCTTATAGGGCTGTTTCCATCGAAGGCTCGCTTCCATAATAACCGTATTGATCGAGAACCGATCTCTATTACTTCGAGTCCGGCTGGAGGATCTGGCCTCTCTGTAAAATACAAACAAGGTTTAAAGCGTCTTTGTTACACGCCAATTGGATGTGTGTTATTAAAAAATAATTTCATACAAAATTAAACAATTTAATGATAGAAATGTGTACTTTACCTTGGACTGCTAAATAAATCAAATGTTCGCTTCTTCCATAAGCGTTATCAGCGGTACATCTGTAGACTCCGGAATCTTGCCGATCACTATTTGCGACAGATAATTGGGACTTCAGGCCGTTGTCAGTCTTTATTTGACCGATACTTAGTCTGTGATTGCTCATATCTAATCGATCACTGTTATGCATCCATTGCACCTCTATAGGATTATCACCAATCACAGTGCAATCAATAGTTACGGATTCTCCACGGCGAATTGTTACATTTTTACTCTGAAATTCGAATCTCGCCGGTTCTATAAAGATACAAATTATTATATTTTAATTTGCTGCTTATTTAGCAGGCTTATAGTAATATAATATATTTCCAAATATCATATAATTGAAACGAGATTATTGGATAAAAATAAACCGATCGGTTTTTAGAGATTTTAAGAAAAGAAATAATATAAAAATTAATAAAATATTATTTTTGTTATTAAATAAAAATAATATTTTATTATTTTTTATATTCTTTTTATATTCTACAATTATATAATTATATAATTTTTTAAATTACATAATTTTATATTATTCCTAACTATATTTTTAAATTTATATTTAAAAAAAAATATAAATCCATAAAGTATCGAATTGATTAATATATTTATTGGATTTTTTATAATGTATTGAGATTTTTGGATTTTGTATTGTTCTTCATTGTTAATTGATCTATAATTTGAACATGAATCGTATTCTTACCATGCACCGACACATATATCACTTTGCTTAATCCGGATCCGATGCCATTGTTAGCCCTACATAGATAGTAACCCTCATCCTGCGGACCGGCGGAAGCCGTCCACAAAGACCCATTAGGCAATATCGTGAGTCTACCATCCGAACCATCGACTAGCGGCTGATAGTCGTTGGACGTTCTGCCTCTGGCACGTAGCCACGTAATACGCGGCGGTGGAAAACCTTTGGCTTCGCAATGGACATTTAACGGATTGCCCAAAAGAGTCGCCACGTCTAACGGTTCGAATATCCATTGAGGAGGTACTTTTACCAAAAGTTCAGCCGTATGGTTCACCTTCGCGGCACTATTTGTGGCCACGCAGGTGTATTTGCCGCTGTGCCGCGACGACAGTTCCTTGAAGACGAGGAGGCTAAAAAACTCAGCTCCTCGCTCTTCGATCTATCCAGCAAAAATACGATCATGATAGGAATATGGATTTATACGGGATGTAGAATGTATTGCGCTATTTTTATTATGCTAATAGATACATAATTTCCGAATCAGTGACACAAGAATTCGAGATACGAAAGATATTCTCTCCTGTATATTGTAAAAATATAAAATCTCTGTTTTTTCACATACTGTTTTTTAAATTTTATCTTGAACTGAATTTCCATTTGTTTAAAGAACATTATTCACAAAGACTGAATGTCTTTCACAAGAATTTTATTTCTAAAAAAGTACGTATTTTTGTTTTCAAGAGATGAAACTTTCGAAGAAAAATAGGTACGAAAAGATTAAAAATTAGTTTTTATAGATAAAATATGTGCATAGTTCTAAAATGAAGTTGCAGTTTGCATTACTTTTTTATTTTTCGTCGTCAGAGACACAGAAAATAAAGAGAAAAGAGAAATTAAAGAGTGTAGAGAAAAAAATATCGAACATTTTTCGTATAGAGCTGAACTTCATAAAGTGAGATAATGCTTACGCGAAGGGAAGAAGGTAGTGGCTCGCCATCTTTCAACCAGGAAATGTAGATTGGAAGATCGCCCGACGTTACGCTACAAGTCACTTGAGCACGACTGCCTTCTTGTGAATTTGCGGGAAAGCTGAAGGGACTCATTACTGGAGGACCTGTAAAATACGCACAAAACGGAAGAGTTATGTTATGTGTTGTTATATTATACTATTACATCCAAACTCCGAGATTCCTTTTTGTTTTGGGAGATATGGCAAAGTTAAGTGGGGCATGAAAAGACGTCATAGATATTCTCTTGCAGGTCAGTGTTCTGAGACGCGTGGTACGAACACAAGTCTTCAGATGTAGGTCAATGTTCTAAAAGGACATCTTCTGTAAGAAGGACACCCTTTATGAGTAGTATACTCGTCGATCTTTTATCTTTTAAATAAAGAAACTTAATTAGTATTTAAAAGTAAAATCTTATATGATTTTAAATAATGGAGAATTGAAAGAGAAATTTCTTTATAAATAATAAATTCTTAATAAATAAAAAAAATTATTATTTACGCATTGTACAAATTTTGCAAATAATTTTTTCGAAAACATAATAATAATGATAACGTAATTTTGAATTGAATGCATGTATACGCGTATGGATGATTCGTGTATGTTATATTCGTGCAAAGGATATCAATTAGAATTTTGTTTTGAGAGTGTTCTAATCTAACTTCTAGTTACAATTTTATTAGGTATATAATACAAAAATCTATTAAACATTAACCCAATTAGTTCTACATTAAAAAATGTATTAAATTTTAATAAATATTTATTTGAATGGTATCAACTAAATATTGCTAATATATATTTATTTGATATAAGAACTATTAATTTGATTTAATTATTATTTCTTTTTATTAAATAAATATGTAGTTATTGTAAGTAAATATTTCGTTAACATTATTTAAAAAAATACGTATTAAGATTTAGTAAATTTTTTTCAGTGTACTTGTTATGCTTTCACTTACTATTAACAGTTAGTAATATATCTCTGTTGGCGGTCTCCCCAGAACTTGCTCGAACTATACATGTGTAAGTCCCGGCATCATTCGGATCTACCGTGAGGATTGTAAGGTGGCCTTCGCTGTCGACCCGCTGCCTGATGTCAAAGGGCAATTCGGCACCACCTCGGGTCCATCCTACCGATGTGATCGGATATCCTGAGTAAGGACACGCTATTGTAATGTCGACACCGGCGATGGCGCGAACCGGGCCGATCGATCGGATGTACGGTGGTCCTAAAAGTGGTTTCTTATTATAAGATGGTCCCGATTTGAACTCTCTTCCACAATCTAAATCAATTGTTGCGCTTATTCGAGATTCCATTTAAAGTTTCTACAGTATTGTTTTCTTCAATAGTTTTTGCTATTTAATTCTGTATATAACTTTAATAGATCTGTTTAGCACACTTGCGATCATATATGCGATTTAAATATATAGAAATACAGATTTAGCCGAGTTTATTCGTAAGAAGTGTCTTATTTAAAAATTATTTCACATTCTATAATAATAGGTGATTATATTTATATGTATTATATGAAATTATTATCTGCATGTCGTACCGTAAATATTCAATCTAGCTTTATGTTCGACGGTCGCTAGAGTGTTGGACGCCACACATGCGTACAAGCCACCATCCTCGGCTCCCGCCGATGAAATGTTTAAGTGACTGATCACGTCACCCGATTGATCCACATATTGGCCTATCGCGTATCTACGTGCATAGTTCCTGATTAGAAGGTAGAGCGATATAACGCTAATATATCAGAACATAGGTACGATCTACCTGTGCCCAGTCGCAATCTGGCTTAATGGTTCACCATCGAGTAGCCACGTAAAGGATGGTGTCGGTGAACCGGTAGCAGAACATCGCAGAGATACCGGTGGGCCTGGTCGTAATGCCTGCTCGATAAACGTGTATTGCAGTTCCGGAACCGTATCTAAAAATAGTTTCCAAATATCCATTTTTTTAAACGAGAATAAACCAGTTTTTTAAATTTATATGCAAGAGGGAAAGCTATAAACTAGTGATGTAATAATAGATAGAATCGGTCAAATAAAAGTACAGTATAACAGATATTAAAAATATGAGATATAGCGTATGAGATGCGCTCATTCACCTCCGAGTTTGAGTTCGGCAGTGGCCTGAGCATTTTCCTTGTCGCTCCTCACCAAACATTGATACATCCCTTTGTCTCTGCGACCAACAGAGCCTATTACGAGCACCAAGGGAGCCAACAATCTGATCCTTGTATCCTGCGCGGTCAATACTGGCACACCATCATGTAGCCACTCAACGCTCTCAACCGGATATCCTTCGACCGTGCAGTTCATCGTAGCGGTCTCGCCGGAATTAATAACCTGCGAATGATGACAAGCGAATCCATTTGAATCTCGCAGTCGGACCAATTCGCGTTTATCTGCACGATTTTTAAGTGTGCAATAAAAACTAATGCCCTCGAGAGACTAGCTTTTGTTAAGTTAATAATGCATATTTTTATATTTGACATTTTTGATAAATTAATGGCTTAATTATCATTTAATAATTGTTTTATTAAATATTAATTTTATATAATTTGGAGAAAAAAAAGAGAGAAAGAAAATTACTAATTAATCAGTAGACGCAATTATCATAAATATAATTAGCCCAATATTCGTATTTATAGTTTAATCCAGTTTTTCATTATATTAATAAAAATAGAATATTATATGAATATTATATGGGAAGTGGATTAAATTCTTGATTCATATTATTTCCTAGTATAATATAGGATAAATAACTTTTACTAAACAACTATATATAATATATATATATATATATATATATATACAAACTCAACAATTTTTTAAAGTATAAAAGTTTCCCTTTTTTATCACATCGTTGATTCTTGAATTTAAAAAAAAACCCTTTGTATATAACGAATTTCTATCTTCATATTGTTATGCTCTTTTAGCTAGTCTGCTAATATAAAATGATTTAAGAAGAAAATCATCCTTCTGCAGAAATCAGACTCGTACTTGCACACGCGGCTGAATCCGAGCGTTTAACTTTGATGTGACTGACAAGTGCGTCTCCGCTCGTTGCTCGCCAAGCTGATTGCTAGCCCGACAAACATATCTTCCTGCATCCTGTGCATCTACGCGACGAATTTGCATCAAATCTCCCCAAAGCTGGATACGGCCGAACGATTCGACCGGTATCGAATGGCCTGCAATAATATTTGAGTGTATCTATCTTATATAATCATGCAGAGTTATTTGCATGACATGTTTAGCGCTAGATTAGATTCTCGTTGAATGTTACACCGTATACACAAAAGAAAAAGAGAAATTCTCGACAACTTTTTTGATAAAATAAATAGATCTCTTTTTCTTCTACAACTACTTTGATAACACCTTTCAAGAGTACACCTATTAAAGAGTACGCCTATTAAACACTTTTCTTGTTCTTCTTAATGATATTCACTGTACAATATTGATTTAAATATAAGTATTCAGTATTTACCAGAGTTGAGAAGTAACGCGTTACTTGTAACGCCATTATATTGTTACTTTTTTTTTATAACGATCGTTACTTTTTTTATTTGTAACGATAACATTGTTACATTTTTATAGCAATGATAACGAAGTTGTTACTTTTATTGTTATTGAAATTATTATCTATTATTTAATATAAAGAAAGAAAAGTTTGTACATATATAAACTAATTTATATTTTTAAGTTTTAATATTTTTGTTGTTACAATGATATTGACTATTAAATAATATAATTTTTTTATATCTAATATTTTTTTATATCTTAGTTTAACATTACGAAAAAATAACGAAAAAAGATAATAAATTGTTAAGAAATAACGGTAACATTTTACTTTTTAAAATTAGTAAGGAGTAACGGTATGTGTAGTGTAACGAGCTACTTTTACAAAATGTACGTCTGCCTAGCTGGCCTCCAATTAAAAAAAATCTTTGTTCCATAAGGGAAGTCCCTTAAGGGTTGCAGCGTAAAAATCGAAATTACTTGGAAATGGTAGCGCATAAATCGAAGATATATTTTGCATAGTTAGCGTAATTTTGTAATTTTAAACGACTTAGGGATGAATATGACTGTTTGCTCCAAGAGGGAAGTGATAAGGGATGCAGCGCAAAAATTGAAATTATGCACAGAAAAAAAATGAATTCCTGATTCATGTACATTTTTATTCTTGAATGTAAATTCTATTTACTTTCATTTAAGTATAAAATATTTTCTTTAATTATAAATGTTCACTGGCATCAATAATAAATAGATTTATGCAAAGTATACTTTATTCTAAAAATTGTATTCTTTGTTTCTAAAATCATTATATGATTCTAACAAACTTAATCACATTATTTATTCTTGGATTAAGAATTTTAAATTTGAATATTCGGCAGGCAGTAACAGTGTGTATAAGAGCCCCTCAGTAATATCAAGATGACGAAAGTGCATGGATGTAATGAATGACGGGGTTTTGTGAGTGAACTGTTGCATTCGTGGAACATATCTTTAAATGTGGTTCAGTCTTTAAGGGTGGATGAAATATTCAGTTCGTCCTAATGTTTCTGTCAATTGCAAATGTGCGAATAACCGGCCGACTTTGTTACTGCGACGTGACGAAGAGATGTCTATACACGCGGGCGGATTTTCCGCAGATTCACGGATCTGCTATCCACAGTTAAATGGGTGAGATGAGCAATGAATCCGTCACGGTGGATCCGCCTGTATATGTAGCCAGCATTCTCTACCATTATGACGAGGTTGACCTGGGTCTGTTTGCATCCTTATTTGCAATACGGCTAACGGAGATTGGTAGAACGATCTCAGCATTTCACTTGTCTTTGAGCTACATTAGTAGAGGGTATAATCCAAATTTGATTCAGTTTTTCCTTGGGAGCTTATACCCCGTGCATATTAAGAGGCATGCTCTATAAATGTGGCACTTCATTTACTAAGCTATCGCCACTTGCTACAACATTGGTTTCTGTCATCTTGATGTTACTAAAAATTACTAGGGGATTTGAAATAAGTTAACAAAAGGTATCATTAAAGAAAAAATAAATATGCTGATATAAGTATATTTAATGTTGAACGAGAGCAACTTTTTTTTATTGAAATAAAATTTGTTTTGAACTAAGAATAAAATTTATTTTATTTTACGAACAATTTATTGTTAAATTGTTTATTCTTGGCGCTATTTTAACCATAAAATATTCTTGGATTAAAGCATTTATGCATTTCTTTAAGAATTCATTTTTTTGTATGTGTGAATATGAAAGCGCATAAATAATGCATAAATCCTGTGTATTTGATTTTCCAAATCGGTTGTTATTAACACGTGAGGAGGGGAGGGAGGGGGGCTGCCTCAGCAAAAAAAAATTTTTTTAGCTAAACGAAAATGAGCGAAAAATTTTTTTGCGAATTTTGAGAGCGCATAAATAATGCATTATTATATAAATTATTCATTAAGATTTGATTAAAGTAGGGGGGGGGCAGCTAGGCAGACATAAATATATTGTAACGATAATGATGTACGGTAACGCGTTTTTTTTTTTATGAAAATAACGTTCCCAAATCTGGTATCTATGCTATCGATGTTTGAATACTGCTGGTAGTTTGTTCGGCGCTACGTTAACATAGCTTATTCGGTAAACATTCCCCTAATTAAACCAACCATTAACATCGCGATACCAGGTAAATTGCGGTGGCGGGCTTCCTTGTGCTGAGCATGTGAGGTGAACGTCGGAGCCGCTTTCGGCGGAAATAGCGATTTCAGATCGTTGCATCAATCGCGGTGGCGAAGAACCGGTTGGTTCTACAAATAAAAAAATGGAGATAATAAATCTAAAGGAGATGAATGAGTGGCAAGGAATAATCTTCCTAGCCATTCTATTATATAGCGAAATCCGCGGAGGTAGATTAAATTTTAATCCGGATCTTGATTTTATATTTATCTCTCAAAAGGGGTTTATCCGGTTCTAGCGGTTACCCGTGACTGTTAAAGTGGCGGGCTCGCTTTTTCTTCGTTCGCTCGTCAAGGCATGCAGGGTTAAACACGAATATGTCGCTCTGCCGTCTTCTGGTCTGGCGGCCCTAATATGAAGGTCACCCTGCGAAGTAACTACGAATCTTCCGCCTGTGAACAAAATCAGGGCACATGTACATAGGTTGATTTAATATATAGCATGTCTCAGCGCATCTCGCGCTTTCTGTCAACTGCAGATTTTTTAACAAACTTAGTAACAAACTTACCGAGTTTTCTTATATCAACATTTTATTAAAAATTTGTTTTGGTATATATTTTTTAAATAAACGTATTAAGTACATAAAAAATATTCTTTTACAAAATATTCTTTTACATTGAAATTTAAATTAAAAAATATGGTTTGTTATACAAAACATATTTATCAAAGTTTATAAGGGAGAATGGGTGAACTGCGAAACTTAATAGAAAAGTTAAATGAAGCCGATGTTTATTTATCAATTAATAGAAGTCTTTATTCAAAAGATACTTTAATTATTTTTTGGTTTTAAACTACAATAATTAAATTTCTATATTATCAATACAAACTATAATTTTAAACAAAAAACTGAAGAAAGAAAATTTTGCCGTGCGAAATTACCTGTCGTCACGTGAGGTAATACCGAATTGGTTTTGTTTTTATAGTTTATATTAATATTAATAATATATAAATAATTATTAGTTTAAAGTCAATATCCTTTGAATAAAGATTTACTTAAACTACATATGCATTTACGTGTTTTAATTAGTATGGCACTAAACATATATTGGACTACTACTGGATGCATGAAAGCTGTTACCATTACTTTGATGTGTTGCAATAGTATTGTAAGTTTACTCCATTCGCAATTTTCCTACTCCTTTTTATAATAATCAACTGATTTTTGAATTTGAAACAATCATGATTTTTATATTATTAAATTTTTATATTATTAGATTTTTATATTATTAAATTTCCGATTTTACTTACGTTTCAGATAAAATACGATTTCTGTAGGACGCAATACTATCTATATGTATAAATATATTAAAACCGCAAAAAAAATTAGTATGCAATTTTAAAGACATTTCACCTGAATAAAAATTTTCCCTCTCATCACTATCGTTGTGAATGAAGAAATGCTTCTCTCGACTTCGCGATTTATTCCACTTCCTTCTACAACGCGGCAGACTGAGCGGAAATACTATTCGACTTCTCAGAATTCAGAAGCTGGGAAATATCAATAATAAATCCCTGAACGTGCACGCGGTTCTTGCAATATTTTCTCTCGTATTTCAAGTCTGTAGGAGCAAAGGGTTATGCAAAATCCTCAGCATCTGTCGATGAAACCTCTTCGGATCACGGATGGGTGTACCATCAGGCGTGAAATTTTCAATTTGGCTCAACCATCGGACAGCCATCGAGCAACTCGGTCTACCGACTTGCTAAAACTGTCTGACTATCTCGGATTGACCTGCCAGAAATCTTTTTTTCATCACGCGCGAAACATTACGGATTTCGCGCGTTGGTATCCCTTGCAGAGAATAATTAATATTGAAGGAATATCTCTCTCTCTCTCTCTCTCTCTCTCTCTCTCTCTCTCTCTCCGCTCAAGATAGACACTTCCTGTTACATTGTTATTTTCCGACATATTGCCCGAAGAATAAAAAACTGAATCACTACGAATGTATATCCTTTCATTTTAGTTATTTCATCTTTATTATTTTTATAACTCTGTTATTTTTCACTGATTATTTTAAGATCTCTATGAAAGAACTCTATAAAACAGTTTCATTTTCTAAATTCAAATGAGAATGTTTAAATACAAAATATCAAACATTTATTTTAATTATCTCTAGAATTATTTTATTAATATTGATGAGAAATTCTCTTTTATTCCGAATAATATAATTCTAACGATCATATGTCCCCGGATCTGCGCAAGATGCATTCATCACGAACAGGATTCCGAGTGGTTCTCCTTCCTACGATGTCTAACAAGAACTATTGTCGCAGATTCGATATCGTTATAGTGTGTGCGTGTGAGTCAATGATAGAAACGTCATGCTCTTCCCGCAACGTACAACCGGAATTTCATGTCGTTGAATCAGGGTGTGATATCCGCGACGTTACAACATGATAGTTATTATGAAGATCAATATACGCGTGTAATGTCTTAACTATTTTTTAAAATAAAAGTTATATTTTCTCTCATTTTTCATTAGAATCAGATATTCTTTATAAATTTTTTTTCCAATACGAAAATGAGTGCTTAACAAATATTTGAGCTTAAGAATGCTATTTTTTGAGAATAAATAGATCATATATGCTAAATGTTAATTCCGCTCCAGTTCATTGAATGACATCAATGAATTCCGTTACAACATGAGAAGAAGAAAAAAATCAAAATTTCTTCCAATAACGACAGAAGATGGTCTCTCTCTCTCTATCTCGATTATTGTGTCAATTCGAGAGCGCTTACATACTCTTGACGTTCCTCTCTATCTTTACTGATATTGGCGCGACGTCGTCGATTGACGACGTCGCGTCGTCTTCGGATGCGATATGGACCGTTCTTGCTACGGCGACGGCGTGCGTCCACATCTCATGCGTGCTACGATACACTCACATCGACATGTGTATATATATATATATATA